AGAACTGACCAGTCAGGTGGTATGTTGTAAATAGAAACATTTCATATTCACATCAAGCAGCACATGCTAACAGCAGGATAGGAATCCATACAGTGTTTACATGATTTGTCAGGCGAGCATCTGACTGACGCTTTCATCTGAACCTGACACTTTACGTGAAAAAAGAAATCCGTCGCCCAGAAACCCTCGAAACCTTCATCTGTTGTTTCTCGGCGGCGGAGCAGCAAATGTCACATTCGAGACGGCTTCGGTTTGGTGTCACAGTTTTGCAACATGTCAAACTCTTGTGTGTGACTATCTGGCAGTGTGAAACTGGCAGACACTCTGATATCTGGCCTGTTTTCCCACCACAGACTGCAGAGTCCATTTCACAACAATTAAAAAATGTGTCAGAGACAACGGAGCCAAAATAATGTTCAGGATGACTGTAAATGTGACAGTAAATAAACAGACAGATTGTTTTGACACATTCTGTCTCTCCCTCCCTCCCTCTCTCTCTCTCCCTCCCTCTCTCCAGGAGTTGCAGTTTGAACGTCTGACCAGGGAGCTGGAAGCCGAACGACAGATTGTTGCCAGTCAGCTGGAGAGATGCAAGCTTGGCTCTGAGACCGGAAGCATGACTAGCATCAGGTGTGTGTGTGTGTTTGTGTGTCTAACACCTGTCAGATCCTCTTCTGTACACTCTACCTGCGTGTCAGCTGTGCTCTTGCAGGTGACTGGCTTTACAGCTGGTCGCATTAGACGTACACTCCTTGATTTGTGTCCAGAATTCATCTGTGTGCTGAAAACCACAGTCCGGCTCACTGTGTTGTTTTGCTCTTGGCGCTCAGACAGAGCGATGTCCTTGCATTCCTCTGGTACACCAGATTCTGTTCTGTCTCGTGCACTACAGTGGTCATTTAGTTTGAGCTGCAATGTGTATTTATCAAGTTTTTTTTCCCCCCTTTTTGCCTGCTTTGGCAGAACTGCAGTGTGGTCCACCAGTTTATTTGTCATCGCTACAAGATGTGTTACATCAACAGTCAATTTGAGGATTCTGGTTTGCTGTAGTGCAGTCAAAGAGTGGGAATTCAAAGGTTCTTATATATCAACGATGGGTAATTGTTGCTGTGTTTTCTGTATGTAGTTAGAAAAAAAAGGCTGTTAAATGGTCTGTAATCAGTGTATATCGTTCCCATTTATGTGAACCACTATGGACCTCTACTGTGCTAAGTAGATGCGTTATCGTCCATTATGATCACTGATAAACAGAAAGTAATTCTAATAATGTCGACAGCCTTTTGTGGTCGTGTGAATAAGCGCATGTAAAATCTGTGGTGGGTTCTGTGCAAAATGGAGCTTTGTTGTATGTGGTAACCGTAGTGACAGGATGTTTTGGTAGTTAAACCGAACCAAACACTTACTGAAGAACACAGAGTGAAAGTGAAAGTAAAAATGAGACTTAAGGCAAATAATAATACTATATGAGTGGCTGAGGACTGGGCTTTTGTTTGTCTATGTGTAACAATGCAGCTACATCACTGTTTAACGGGGTAATGACCGCCTACTGAGCCTACTAGAAGGTGGAAGAGTTCCCCTTTGGCCCATTCGTATGGAAATGTTGGACCATTTAATGAGCTGATAACGTCCACATTGAGTGGTTGAAAAGACTGGTTACCTTCAACTGTACTTAAATCTCAGTGATCATTGAAACAGTCCAGACAGAGTGTCAGACAGCGCTACCTCGCTAGTTCGTTACACGAAGCCAAACAACATTAATAAGCTTTTTTTTCTCTCATTGGAGGAGGAACACAAGCTGTAGCACTGACATATAGTATTGTCACCTAGTTTGACCAGTTTTTAAATTTATATTTATATCATATTTTGTCTTCTTAGCACTGTGTTGGTCTTCACAACTTTTGAATTCTTAAATACTCATCTGTGTTCGCCAGTACAAGTCACTAACTTTGCTGCTGGCAGCAAGCTTACAGTGGAGTTATTACATTTCTTGTTTTGCTTAAAAAAACAACAGCAGCCTGCTATAGCTGGAAACAACACTGGAAGTGAGTGAGAATAAAATTAAAGCTACAGGCTGCAAAACAAAAGCAAAACAAGCTAAAAGATGCTAAAATGGTCCACTGACATCACAAGAGACTCCTTCGACATTATACTTCACATTTCATTCATTGGTATCTAGGGCTGGTCCGAATAGCAGTTCTAGCTTCTGAAATCATCTCTCTGGCAAAGGAAGCTCAAGTGGACCTCACCTTTCAGCTGCCCATCTAAGAAACCCACCTACAGGATATTGGGAGATCAAAATTGATATCTCGATTACAGCACAGCGAATGAATAGTTGGCTATTCAGGCCCAGCCCTTTTGGTATCATGAAAATATTGACTGCTGCAGCTTTAATATTCTGCGCTAACTTCTATTATTATAACAACACACACTCGTCATATAGGCTTGTGACTACTGCTGATTTGTAGAGTAAAATATAGATCCATGTAGCTTTTTTTTTGGCATCTCAAGCATTTTCAGCTCCTAAGAAATGTTCCCAATACTTATATAATTTCTTTAACACAACCAGAGGAGCTGTTTCTACTCATCAGGTTTTCACACAACTTCATTCTAGTAAATATGTTCACTTTAGCTGACCTCATTTTAAAAACACACGTTGGCTGTTGTCATCTCTTACTATCATCATCACTGTGTTTGCTGTTCAAATTAAACATGCAGAATAAGAGCAAAGACGTGGAGCTACAAGCCCGTCCTTCTGTAAAACACGTTGTTCAGTCATTTTTTTTTGTTGAAAATGTCCAATAAATTACCATTCTGAAGCTGCACATTGACTAAATATGGCACCATTAAGCTGAGAGATGTGAGAAAAATGGACCTTTGGATGGAACTGAACTTGACAGAAATACAACATTTACAGATAATTTTAGGGGAGGTGCGTGACCCGATGAATGATTGAAGATTGTAACAACACATGCTGATAATCGGTCGTATATAAACGATTATTTTAGTGGTTATGGGACACACGCAAGCATAAACTGTAGAAACTGCAAAACGTACTCATCGTCATCGCACCAGACAACAAATCTGCATTATTTTCCAGCATCACCGTGCCAACTCTGTCACAATTAGGTTGATCAAAGCATTATTACAGTTTAAATGAATTTTGGCTGGCGTTTGATGGCACGGAAAACAAATCCTCATCGTTGCTAATGTAACTGTGTTTTTGTTCATTAAAAACAGCAACTGCTTTTCACAAAAGAAAGAATCAAACAATGTGCAGCTGTCACAGCCGTCTATTGTGCTGCTCAGAGACTCTATTTTTTTTTTCTTACCAGTAATGATAAGAGGAAGAAAACTGTACACAATGTGAAGCGACTGTCAGATTATCTGCCGCTGATTGAGTTTGGACCTGAGCCTCATCTCAGCGCTGAGCTCAAAGAACACATTCTACACATTCCACACTAGTCCCGCCGCGAAAAACGCCACTCCTGACACAATAGCGGTAATACACTTAGCCTTCCTCTCAGGACAGCGTAACACGATTAAAGCCTCTGTCTCCATTTCTCTGTCTCACGCCCTCTCCCGTACATGCACAAAAATAGACGCGCACAATCCATCATCTTTTCTTCTCTTTGATTTCGTTAAGCGAGCGGGGATTCCGTCCGTCTCAAACTAATTACTCATCTGCCTGTATTGTAATTCTCATTTCAATTTGAGGGGTGGACCAACAAAGAGCAGGAAGATGGTCTAAAACCGATTCATTCACCGGTCTAATTAACCGGTGCGTGCATTCGGGCTTCTGTCGCAGGGCTGCGTTCAGGGCCTCGGTTTAAAGCAGCAGCGACATGGGATGGAAGAGGTGGCGGGTACAAAACACACAACTTCCACTTCGTCATCCAGCTGCACGCAGATGGAGCAAATGCTGCCGTCTTGCTAACTGGATTAGATGGGTGTGTTATTTAGCGAGCGGTCCTGTGGATTACACTGTCTTCCATTGCTTTTTATAGGCCATTCACTTTGTTTGACTCGGAGGTAATTACTAAATGGACAAATGGTTTGGCAAAACACACGAGTCCACCAAGGCAATGTGCTGGAGGTTGTGTCGTGCCTAAAGCGTTCAGGATTTATTGTTCAATTACCTCTGAAACATTAGTATTGCTGCTGTTCTGAATAGTTTTATTCATCGCTACTTGTCCCGGAGAACAGAAGGGCCAACATGTAATCGGCAGCAACAATTCACAGACAGGAATTTGTCTTGGTAGCATTTGTGGCGAAGCATATTGATACAGCACAAGCTTAAATTGATCTAAAGTGGCTCAATAGAAGTAAAACTAACTTTATATTGTTGCGGCATTTTAATTTTTTTTGTGCTTTGATGCAGAATATAGACGTATCTGTTTCTAAATCATTATAATGACAAAAATACAGGATGCCTCATAATATAATATAATATGAAATGTAAGAAGTCTGGTAATGTATTACCGCTAGAGCTAGTTTATCGTCTATTAGCATCACTGCTGCATTTTTCACTCCACTCGCCTCGTGTTGGTTAATTTTAGCTGCTAGTTGTTTAGCATGAATAATAATATAAAAAAGGAGATGAGTTTTCCATGCAAATTAGTACAAATTACTTGTACTAGAATATTTTATTGTTTTACAGCAATCTATATAACTTTTAAAATGCTGACTACTGTTAGCTATTGTTAGTGTATTTTTTGGCACTTTCCTGCACGACTTACGCCCATATTCTTTGTGAAAACATTTAAATAGTAGCAATATACATTTATCCACTTACTATGTTTGCAAAAACATGATGTTAATTAAAGCTGAGGTAGGCAGGACTATGGAAAAGACAGCAGGCTGGCAGGTCAATCTGTCGACATGACCCCTACATTTAGATATAGGAGAAGAACAGCAAGCTCTAAATATAGTATTTACTGGATGTATTTCCAATTCTCTCAGTGGAGATATTGATATGTGTTTTATTGCATTTATTGTGAGACTCTTATAAACTCTCTTTTTGATAAACAGGAGTTTGTTTTCTGAGTTGCTTCGCAGTGTAATGCAGCTGTTGCCAGTAGTAACTTTCACTGCCATCTGAAGGGACAAGCATGCACACCTGCACTACAGTGACACCCTCAGAACACTGTTATTGGTTCCCATCCAATGCCTAAAGCCCAGATCTAAAGCCTGGAACCAGAGCAAAGAGGAGGTGCAGGAGTCTAGTTTCCTCTTAGAGCACTTGAATTACAATATATTGGAAGGTTAACCCTTTATAGGGCACTCACTGAAATACTTAGACATTTAAAATTTCAACCCTGGGGTGTTATTTGTGGATATGAGGGGAATTTTTTTTTCTTTTATGACTTTAAAAAACAAGTTTTAGACTTAGGCTGAAAATCAAAGTCAAAGGAGTTACCGTAAACGTTTCCTCGCCTACCAAAAAATAAAATAAAAAGTCACTCATGATTGGTCAGAGGTCGTAGTGACTTCACTGATTGGCTGCATGAAGTCATGTGAGTCTGCTGCCTGCCATTTTGAAAGCCTACAAAAGTTACCATACATTAATAATGAATGAGTTAATATAACATTTTTTTGAATTCTGCCTACCTCAGCTTTAAGGAGGACTTCGA